AATATTAGTCTCAACTTTTCTGTCATTTGAAAAAAAGCCCGATGGTGCCAATCTTTAAGTTACTCAAGGGGTTACCGCAGGATCAAAGTATTTGATTCAGGGCTTAAATTAAAAGTCGCTAGATTTTGGCTAAATTCCCGCTATTTTTACATATACATTTTTACAGTATTTTACATATATTAATCTTATTTTAAAGTTACACTTACTCATCTACGTTACTAGATCAGGTGTCCGCTTCTTGGAACTAAAACGGCGACTAGACGGAATATACTACGAGATTGAAGATCTAACTTAATTGACTTAATTCTGTTTTATTGTAATTCGTCTAATGTCACGACTAGCGAATCGCTACTTAAAGAAGATAATAAGTAATTTTGTTTATAACGTCGCATAGTGTAAAATACAATTTCAAGCGTCCTTTTGGGGCATTAGTGCAGCCTGGTAGTCGACGTAAACTCTTAGATTCAAATTCTAACTAGTATATACGATTATGGAGGTAACTTGAACAGGGCTTGTAAGTTGACGTTGCCAATAAGAGGTACCATTTTTATGTGAATATTCTGGTTAGACAACAAGGTCCTCTTTGACAATCAGGCGTTTTAATTAAAGAAACTATTTTGTAAACCTTTCCATCGGTAAAAATGTTCTAGTACGAAATTGCTGTGAAGTGCCGATGCACACCTATGCAGAAAAACTGTTATGAGTTGGTGCAAGCAATTGAAGTTTAGATGACCTAATAGGACAAGGGCCAAGTAGAGTAGGTCCGCCGTAATTCAAAGAAAAGTCCCGACGACATGGTTTGTAATATGGCGACCTGATGTTAACGACAAAGGACAAATGGGTTCACACTTATTCCTATGAATGAGTTCATGAAGTTCGAATAAAATAAAATTGAACTTGAATTTGAAACTACTTTTTTGTTTGTCACTTACCGCTATTATATTTAAATAATTAAGAACAACATATCCACTGTGCAGTATATCGTTAAAAAAAATGTCGTGCTTAATTTAAGGCCCAGATGGTCGTAGTCTTGACCGCCTCTGTCGTTTAGACGATAGCTGGTATTCTAATCTGCTTTACAAAATCCAATTGAACTACAATGGACCAGACGCAACGCAAGAGTGAGCTCATGCGGTTCTTGTATTAACGAGGGCATTGAAGACCGTTTTCTGTCGCTTCTATTTGTGGTGCGAAACTGTCCTGATTTTGGTAACCGCTTGCAACACATCAATCCTCGCACTTGCTGCTATGTCACAAAAAAGTATCCTTTTGAACCTCTTTTAGTCCTTTTAGGCAAAAGGACCGTAATGCCTGTTTGAGGTCGGATATAGAGTAGTGGGTAAAGGAATTAGAACAAATCCGCTGCCTTTGGAGCCATCCAAAGCGTTAACAGCCTTCGGCATCATCGCCGTATTTCCCCAACTATTTGGTACCCCAGGGCTGTCATCATAAAAACGATGTTATTGTGAAAGAACAATATGCCACTACAGCACCGAGCATTAATCGTAATAGATGTTTGCAAAAAACTTTCACTTTTTTTTGTAGCATAGATAATAAACTTGAATGAACGAAATTATTTTCACAATGCTTTCGTATTTCCTCCTGTTTGCCTTTACTGTACATTTTGTAACCAATGAATGTGTAGTTGCGAAGTACGGGCACGTTTTTAATCAAAGTGAAATCATACTGTGTTAAAATGCGCCTAGAGTAGGTTAACCGTAATGGATTTTTCATCAGAGAAATCCACAGATGAGTCTAAAAGCTAAATCACCATTGTGGATAAATACCGAAACATCGTAATTTTGGACGCCTGCTAAGTAAGCCAGATAATTGTCTATAGTACCCATTTAAAACGTTATATTGTCATGTCATATACATGTGACTGAAGTATTTTTTTTTCTGAAATTCATGTTATTTGGGTATAGTTTAGACGAATTCAGATCATCCCGACAAAGGGTAATAGTAGTTCTCAGCTTCAGAATAAGGAAACCACATTATATTGATTACATATTTATTTTACACGCGTTACATACAGGACTTACCCTAGGTTATCATTGTAGTTGAAATGACACGCAGCTTTCGACGTCAACTAGGACAAGGCCACTTCTAATGGTCGCAAATATTTCCTTTAATCCCCTACTTTGTAGTCTATGTATGTTCGGTGAAATCGAATCATGTTCAATACGATTGAAGTTACGTCACTTCTCAGATTTTACCCATCTTAAATAACAGGCGTTTTCTTTTTACGTCACGCTCTGTGAATGCGCCGTCTCCCAGTAAAAGATGATGCAGAAGAAAGAATAGGTTGCAACTCGGTTCGGATCATTCGTACTACTTTGTACTAGCAGTATCAGCGGGAACCTGGACATGATTCTTTAACAGAAGACACATCATACTGCAGAGGAATGGCACCGCGAAGTTACAGGTAGAAAGTAAATATTTCAAAGTGTGTCGTCCAAACGTAATATATTTTACTTTTTTTTCGATATATGAACGGCAGATACGAACTTCATTTTCGAAACTATGCATGCTCTCAGGAATACGAATAGTTGTATTTTGCGAAATTAATTTACGATCAATGCGGCGACCAGGGCTCCCTTGAACGATCATGATCGCTTCATTCTGTATTTGTGTCCTAACTACAGGCAGCGAAAGAATTTTTATTCCTAGGAAAGATACAGTCACGGATACGGACTTACGTTTAGCATATTGTTGAGTAATATTTAGCAACTGAGAGAGTTTTTGGCCTTTGCTAGTGGGCTTCCTCGTATAAAGACACTAGTATGACGCTCCTTGGCGCAGTGACATTAAAATAAGAAAAACAAGGCACGGATTGGGCCGTAGACGAGTCCTAAGAGAGGACCAAATCTCGTGACTCGAAGGCCAATCGCAGCCAGCTTAATTTGAACTTTTCCAGGTTCTAAATGGCTGAATACGAGAGCAAATATGTGATGATCACCTGCGTTTAATTGGTAATTAATGTGCAACATCTATGAAGCTATCTATATGTGTGTATATATGCCTTGAAGTGCAGCTTCTACAATCAGTTCTATTTTATCTTACCTTGTGTCTCACCGAAGTGGACGCTGTAAGCGGTAGCTCCCGTGTTTTTATTATGGGATTTGGTATCGAAACGTAAAGATTTATTTGCGCCACTTTACTAAGAAACCATAAGGACATAAATTAATGAAGAGCACGTCATGTAAGAAGGAAGCCAGGATTACACTGAGCTGCCTTACTTACGTCTCAATTATTCAAATACATGAAACGAACACATTTAGCTCGAAAACGAAGGCTCTTTGACTTCGGTATTAGCACCTGGGTAATGCACTAACGATACAGCCGCTTCGCATTTTTACACAGTCTTTAGTTCTTCGTGAAACCTTGATAATGCTATCATTATTGTCAACATTGGTATCAGTAGAAATGTAGTTTCGTAGTACCTGTACCGCTTCCTGTTTTTCGACTGAACAGAGAAAAGCAAGCATTTATTCATTTCCGGTAAGTTATGCAAAAAAAAAACTATGCAACCTTAGCACAATCGTATAGCTCATACGAAGTTCAGCTGGCAGACGTATTGTTGATGAATCCGATGAAGTTCGTGGCCACTTTAAGCAGGCCCCAGAGACCGTATTTACGAGTTCGACACTTGGCCGGTATTAGATAGTTTAAATATGTGCTATGTCTAACATACCCATTTTACAGTCGCATTCGACATAACTTTCACACAACAAAACTATTCAAAAGTTAGTAGCTTAGACGAACATGAACGCCTATGTTATTCTTTGGTGAGCACGTAACTATTAGTGAGTTAGAAGTTCTCCAGCAAGTTAACTGCTGACAGCTATTGAAGTGTTTCAATTTTAGACTCTCGAAAAGATGCTCTATAAATACCTTAAAATAGCTAAATTGTCTTGATTGAGCCAGCACGAGTTCTGCTTATGGATCTTTTTGTTACTATATTTATTTTTGTCCAGTTATTCTAGAACCATTTTGGCGAAACAATTCATCCAATAGAGAGCCGCTTTATTACCTTTGGTGTAAATAATGCGTGATTTATTAAGTGTAAAAAAATTCTAGGTTGAATTGTTTGGGACCTCGATGCATAAGAGCTATATATGATAGTTTAAATATGAGTTTTTCATCACAATTTCAGGCAAATCGTACTCCTAAGTCAAATTACTCTTTCAACTAGATAATTTATATTTTGTCATTACCAGCCACAAAACTAGATCGTGTTCAGTAAATATCCACTTAAAACTGATAAGACATGTTCATTCTCTAGTCCTTATAAATATAGACAGATGAGCGAAAGGTCATTGACATTGGTTCTATTTTTTGAGGACTATCTCTCTTATCTGTACAGCGTTTTACGTAACAATTAAGGCAGACTTGCTGTATCGCTTATATAAATGCTAAAAAACCTTACAAAATATTTCAAGGAACTCTATTCCATCAAATTCCAAAAAACATGGCCTCTCCGTCTAACAGGAAGTGCTGCACCATACCTTCTCTCCTCGACAACAGAAATAGTAGTAATAATAAAGCCATCATTATGCTTTCATTGGAGGAAATTAATCAATAAATTATTGTGATTGGCTTTACTTGCTTCGTACGGTTGGTGCAGCATTGGCTCCATGGCGCGCCTTGAATCAGCGGTTCCTAGCTTCTTCAGCTAGGGACTGACTCGTTCAACTCAAAGGCTAAATATATATTTAGACAGCCATCTTAATTATTTTTTGTCTAATTAGCCGAGCTAGATAATAATAATTGAATACTCTCAGCTTAGAGTAAGTACACCTTTTCTACCATCTTTTGTCCCTAGTTAACTGATCAATTTCCTGCTGTCTCATCTGGCCGACAAGGCTTCACGAGCACAGAGTGTTCAACTGACCCAAATCGAGTCGCGCTTGCTGTGTGCCTCTGATGAGATTTAAAACGTAAATCCAGTAATTTTTGATTATGTACATCATATAACATCGAGCTCGCTATAGACTCACCAACGGGTATCCTGTCAGGCAGTCCTTTGGCGGCTCCGACGTGGTTTGGAAGCATCAGCAACGAACAATCTATCACGAACACGGCTACCGCCAGGTGCCACCGGCTGTGCCACCGCGGCCAAGTTTTGTTGATCAAATTGGGCAAACAAGAAGAAGAAGAAGGTGAGGACCATTTGTGTCGGACCGAAGGCCACTGTCCGTGATTGGTGCGAGTCACATAGGCCGCTTCAACAGAAGAGTTGGATCTAAGTGGGTGTTCTTCAATTTGGCGACGCGGTGACGTGCCTATTTTAAATGCGGCATCATTGGCCTTTAATGGCCGCTGCAGAGTAAAACTCCTACATTTGCCCCAAGCGGGGCCCCGGTGGTTTTGGTAGGTTGTCAGACGGTGGATGTGGCCTGACCCATTGAGAGTGCAGGACTGTCCTGTCTTAGAAGATGTTTCAATAGTAATATGCATCGGGGGACTGCGCGTAGCGGAATTATTTGTGGAGCAGCAGCTTCTACTATGCGGCAGCAGCAGCAGCAGCAAGCAGCGGAACAACGCACATTCGAGCCTACGTTCGACCCCTGAGAGAGCTACGATTCATCCAGGAGTGGCATACTGAAGAAACGAAGCTCGCAGTACTGAGGATAGAAATGTATAAGAGATAATCAGGAAATGCTGCTCTTTCTAAATCTTGTGTGCTTCTAAATCTTTGATGTAGTTATTACGTCTTCGGCACGTTCCTCCAGCCTCTAGGTGACGTCTTCATTCACCTGTGCCTGCCTTTCTTTGTTTCTACTTTGGTCCTTTTTGGAACGATCTCTTGCTACGAATGTTCTCTTTCTCTCGGTCGTTAGCAACACTTGGCAACTTCTTAGTACTCCTTCGTCTGATTTTTCACGGCTATATATTGTAACTTAACACTATGATAGGCTAATGTTGTTCCGCATTTTTAGCATGTTACGCGAACCAGGTTCGATCTATGTATCGAGCGGTATTTCCTACTTTAGTCAGCTGGTTCATTTCAGTGTGATCGAGACCGGGATCTTCCTGACAAAGGTCGCATTTTCTCGCCTACGCTCTTTCAACAACTAATCGATATAGGGAAAAAAAACGGAGAAGCAACGGTTTTTAGTACTGCTGATTAATTCACGACAAAACTCAGTGAACAAGTTGAACTGCTAGACAAGGAGCCTGGCGGAGGAACGGGACACGTCCTCGGTCCGTGTATCCACTTCCGAGGATGGGGTACAACTGACGTTTGGACCGCCCCGCCCGTGTGCTTCGGGGAGAGGGAAACTCCCTACGCCCTCTCCATCTTCCCTCCCGACGCCCCTAAAATCCCTTCGGTGCGTTACAGGCATAACGCTGTATGAACTATTCGAGCTGTACGTTTGTCTCCACCTGCCGCGTTTTATGGGGAGAGCGACAACGGTAACGCGTGGCAGTGCACACCGTCGCTGCTGCCGCACTTTCGGCGGTAACAGGACCACACGTATTTCTCCTCGATACGACTCCTCTTCTCTGGGTTCGAAATGCCGGCCTTTTTTCTGCTACACTGCAGAGCCTTCGTAAAGAACCGAATACGCGGGAGTAGTCTCCATGTTCGCTTTGTGCCTCACGAGTGTGAGCAGCTTAGTACTGTTTCGCGGGGCAACTTTTACATCGCCGGCAGATCTCTTCTCACCCGTTTAGGGCAGCGGTTACAATAATAATTATTTCTTTGAAGAGGACACCAAAAGTATATGTATACAAAAAAACGTTTATAATATAATGTGAGGTACGAATGAACATGACAAAGGTGCCCTTGCCTGAGAGATCATCATTGCGAAGGACGTAGTGAGTTAATCGTCAAAACGTACTATAAGCAGAATCTAATTAGCTTGGAGGCCATTTCATGTTATATAAAATATCATTTAATATGTTATCCATATCTGTCGCAGTAACAGTAGAGATACGATGTTAACTGGATAAATTTCGGGCTTTGTCTAAAGATACCTGAAGAAATTATATAGATTCTAAATGCATTCCTGTAGGAATAGAGTTCAGCAGGAGAGTTGCAAGGTATCACGGACGTCAGCCTGTAACTTCATATACTTTAGATGTAAATAAATTTTACGTCGTTTAGAGAAAAAAAAACATAACGAAACTTATTAATTGTTACCGTGCCATATCTCTCAGCTGCAGTCGTAAGCACACGTGCGGTTGTTTCGTTGTCTGTGCATCCTGGTTTCCATCAGCATATTAGACTGTGTCTAATATGTCTAATATGCTGATGGAGACCAGTAAACCCGTCTTTGGTATCCGAGATAATCGTTAAGCACAGGTTTAAACTAGTATTGAAAAGACCTAAATGACCTTGACTTCGAACGATTTACCTTCCAATTAATCTATTTTTCGTACCGTTAAACAGCAGGGCCCTTTCTTATGTAGCACCAAAATCGTCACCACAGGTAAAATAGGCCTGCTTTGCGACTAAGCCTTTGTAAGTTTCTTACTCCGGTCTACCTGCCGAAGTTCTAGATAAAAAGCCTCGAAGCAATTCTTATACCCAATAGCAGTGCTGAACCTAGCCGCTTCCACGTAACAACGCGCTGAAGGTTTTCGCAGAGATGAGTTGCCATAGCACACTTTACCGTAAATGAGCTTCATTTTATTGAATAGATTGGCATAAAACCTCTACCTAAGCATCCCACATATTCTGTCATATTTTTTTATAGTAGTAGTCGAGTTATACAGGTTGCGCTACCAATTACAAACTTTTCTCCTGTTCTGATAAATATCCAGCTAATTTCTAAGATAAACTTGAAGAACGTATTTTATTTTAAAAACGTTTTTCGTCTATCTAACGTGCTTCTCGCTAAAAAGTAATTAGGTTTAGCGCAGTGTTTGTCAATGTTGCTTTGTATATATAGTGTACGCTAAAAATGATTGCAGCTTCAGCTTTAAACGGGAAAAAAACTATCAGACTGTCGAACGATGACAGATACAATGGCGTGTATGGTTTGTGCTAATGAAAAGCTACGGTGATAGTTCACAAGAGTAGAAACGATACATCTATTTGATGCAGGAAACATTGAGGCTATTGAATAAGGAATATAAAGACACTGTCCTACTGATAGATAAACTAAGGCTACGGAGATTATGAGCCTAGCCAATAAATCACAACATCGCTGCGATACGGAGAAGTGTGAATGCCGATCCAACGAATTCAACACAACATTATCTTCATCCCTACACGAGGTAATTATCAATGATCACATATTGAAACGCGACGCATCTTCTTTAATTCAGTCACTTTCGTTGAGGAAGCTTGAATAAGTTAATAGAGAAAATGATGGCATATGAGAAGCAATGTATGAGTGTCGAGTGGCCAATTCTTTCACAGGAAGTCACTATGCGGTGGTGTGAAGGTGTCATTGGGTCGCCTGGGAAGCCTTGTTGTTATGTGTTGCGCTGCGAATTTTCGTGAAGTAATTTGCAAAATTGGTGGGCAATATTAGGATACGATTGAAAACTAGGCGAAGCGGATAAAGTTATGCAAGCGGTCCCTGAAAGGAAATTTGTTTCGCATTGCTCTATATATATATATATATATATATATATATATATAATACAAATTGAATCCCCTACGCTGAGTAACGTTATATTACAGAAATTGACTTTCTTTTGTTTCGTGGCCATTAAAAGTTTCCGGACACCATTTGTCCATTTTACATGGGTAAATATAAAGTGTTTTATAATGCACAGATTAATTTGTTCGACTATTTCGTTCTTGTTAGACAACTAACGCTTGCCTTGTATCAAAAAGCCATAGTCAGCAAAAGTTACTCATCTATACTCCATAGGCTTCAGTATCTTGAAATATGACTGTCGCTTTTTTTCTATTGTTACACGATTCTCATTAAATAAAATTTCGACTTCTACGTCTGAACCTGTGTTAGCATTACATCAAATATCTTACATACTACACCTCGTGGCCTATTTATATCCTTGAATTAGTCTAGAAACCCAGTCAGTAAGAAGCTCCAGTTAGAAAGTAACGAGTTGCAGTTGTAGCCAGGAGTACACCAACTAAAATTCTACCTATTTCCCATTCAGATGACCTTCTTCAAATTGAAAACCGCTGGTGTACCTTTCAAAGGCGGCTATTCGCGAACACTGCGAAAGCTATGCTACTGAAGATGATTGTTATATTGGAAGTTCATGTTCTGCCTTACTTACCTCTTAATTACGTTTTGCGGATAACATATATAAGGAGACCTATCTAATAATCATATTTTCGATATTCTAGCAAAGGTCGATCAGTTGTTTTCCTATACAACTCTTCGAGCTAAGCAAAACTTTATTTATTCGGCCACCCAAATGCAACAGGGGAGCGGGTTACAAGACTTCGAAAAAGCGACAGCAGATGTTAGCATAGTACAATGAAAAACTGACGGCAGAGGAAAACAGTGCGTACTCGAGGTTATCGATTACGTCTAAGAGTGCATTTCGGACTATTTTGATCAGTTCGTAAGCCGATAAATTTTATGTGAGTAGGGTTGCCATGTTGCGCATTATGTACGACCATATCGTATCTTATGGAAGTTGGACAAATGCTCTCTGAGCTCAATAAGACTCTAGGTTTCGAGTTCTACGCTTGGTATTGCCGTTAGGCATTCCATCAGACGACTGGCTCCCAGCATGAAACGGGGCCGGTCTATGCCCGAGTTCGAACCCAGACCACAGGGCGTAAACGGGTTCGTTTCATGTCGAGAGCCAGTCGTGTGATGGAATGCTTGATGGCAACACCGGACGTAGAACTCAAGACACAGAGAGTCCAATAAGACAGGAGGGTTGATCAATGTCATTTTCTCCATAATTCTCTTAAAAATGAAGGCGAAGGTCACCTTTGATTTTTTTAATGAGAAAATATTCACCATCAATGCAAAAATTAACTTCAGAAATAATTTCTGACTTGCTCACGAGCCCCAAAAGATCTGTCCACCGTGAATAAAAGCTAATTTCTGATCAATGCACATGCTGGTCTCTGAGACCAAAAGGCTTGATTCAGAAATGTCGACGCACCGTTGAAGAAGCCTACCGTACACTATGCAAATTCTAGCGCACGTGACAATATGTATATATTTTAGAGTGAGCGCATGGCCAACGAATAGCCCAGATTGAAACTTGTTTAATTATTACAGATGCAGCGTTATCGAGAGAAAGAGAAAGCAACAAATCCAGACAGGGTAACTTGGATTCGCTTACTTGTGCTACTAGGAGCTCCCATAACTGCAAAGGAAGCATTTGAAACGGGTTTGTTAGGGCCTTAGGTCTCTAGATGTAATTGTGCTGAATAGTAATTATATTTAGTAAGAAGTGATGTTTCTGGCACATGCAAAACGTTTCGTTGAGATATCTTGTCTGTTTAAACACGGTCTTAGGGAACATCTTTAATTTAGATAAGCTACTGTGCTACTATAGAATAACAACAACATCCTAGCAACTCTCCTCAAAACTACGAATAAATAAAGAATAATTGCGAAAATTAGTAAAAGAAGTCGGTATGGAATTCTGATCCCAGAACGATTGAAGCCATTATATACATGCATTGTACCTATGTGAACGGTTCGACTACCTTATGGATATTATGGTGCACTAGAGGCGAAAACGCCGCCATCATTAGAAAGCGACCAAGAGCCTTTTCTAGAATTGGGGGTCCTGTGGCTGATAATTGGTCACCTGGTCGATAATGTTAGGTGCCAAAGAACCTATTGTGAACCTTAGTATGCAGACACACTGGGTGATTTAGCCGTTATGCCGCGATTACGAGTGGGTTCTAAACTGACACAGATATGTGTGGCTAAATGTCGCACATATACCTTATGTAATTTATCTGTTGATAGTTTTCGAATGTTTCAGTTTTGATCAGATGATAAGATCATTGCTTCCTAGTTTATAGTTATTTTAGTGTCGTTCGGCTGTGTTGGAACGATGGTTCCTATTGTGTTTGGTTTTTGTCTAGTTAATTTGACGGGTTCATTGTTTTAGCAAGTTCGCTTTCTTCACAAGTCTCAATTGACGCACACGATTATGCTTAAGCGAAGACCTTTGATTTCGTCAGAGTTGAGAGACGTCATACCTGGTACATAGGTCGCCGTACTGGATGTAAAAAAAAAACAAGCATGAGAACACAAAACCCCATAAAAGCGATTCATTAAGTTGA